CAGCCCTTGCTTTGCCAATCCGCGCCTTCACATCTACATTGGATCCACCTTTCTCGTCGATAATGCTGCCCAGATATGTAAAGTTGTTAACGTCCTCGAAAGCATATCCATCAAGCGTGATTTGGTTGGTGCATGTTGTGTTGCATCGGAGAATTTTGCTTTTTCCTTTGTGTATGTTGAGACCTACTGCTGCAGAAGCTGTTGCTACACTGGTCGTCTTCTCTTGCATTTGTTGTTGAGTGTGCGATAGAAGAGCCAGGTCATACAATTATAACTAGTTGTACAGAGAAGTTTACTTCAAATATATATATATGCATTATAAATGATAAAATAGTTTTCAAAAGTTGTTGTTACTTCATGTAAATTCAATTAAGTGATTCATATGTGTTATAATTTCGTGAGAATTTTTATTAATTTAAATGTTATTGATCAAATAATAAATTGTAGCATTTAAACTTTTAATATCGACCATTTCTGTATTGTTTTTTTTTTAAAAAAAAAGACAATAATCAACTAAGTATTTGGTCATTTTCAAAGTATATTAATTAATTGATTGATTGATTAATTGATTCATTGATGAAATGCACAGATTGCATCTTATATTTATATATTCTTCTTCATTTTTAACTGATCATCTAAGCATCAAAATGAAATGCGAATTAATATTATCCTAATCAGTTTTGTCTATTAGAGTAGAGTAGTGTTAGAGAGTATACTTCTAATAAAAACACTAATGAATATGAGTTCTAGTGGGAAGACGTGACCAGTGAAGTTCAACCTGTTTGGGTGGAGGCAGTGTCTACTGAAGACTGTGTATGAGGTTGCGCAACTCCGTGAATTTGATCAAGTTAGACATTAACACCATTAGATGCCGGCTCAGTGGTCTAACGATTAGGGCGTCCATGCACAATGCCGAAGGTCCTGTGTTCGAATCCTGCGAGGAGCAGGAGTCGTGGATTTGCACTGCTGAGGAGTCCCATACCAGGACGAAACGGCCTTCATTGAGTGCTTCCAGGTTTCTAATGCGGTGATCTAACATTGATCGATTCATGGTTTCAAAAAATGTGTATTTTAACAATCTTCACAAGTAGTGGTGTTTGCTGTATAATGATGACATTTTTGAGCTGATACTGATAAAAAAACAAACAGTTTCATGAAAATTGGTAAATCTTGTGAACTGTTTAAAAATTTAAATGAAAATAAAGTATTTTATTTCTATGTAATCTCAGTTGTATTGTAGTTGTATTTGACACGTGATTTGACTGTAATAATAGTTGGGGCTTAATCCCTTAAGCAGTAGTACTCAAATAGGTTTTTTTTTTAAAAAAAAGGCAGCTAATATTTTGATTTTCACTGAGGCCTTCCTTACATGATGAGATGTACATCTAAAATGAAGATAATACTAGTTAAGTTTTTAACAATTCATTTCCATTTGATGTAGTTATGCAGACTTTTCAATAATTATCTAACCAAAACTATGGATACGATATGAGGATGAAATTTTAGTCGCCAACAAAGAGAATCGACTAGAAAGTACTAACAATTTGATCAACGGTGTCTTCGACAAAGTAAACTTCACATTAGAAGCCTGAATCAGATAACAAGCTACCCTTTGTGTACATACAGATTTCTCGGCCATATCGAAAACCAACATATACCACCGGCCAAATGCTTGATAAAGACAGAAACATCCCAGTAGTTCATAAAAAAGGTATTCATAGACAATATTTGAAAAAGTGAAGGTGTCAAAACACACACTGTTCCACCACCGAACTAAAAAATAAAGAATACTTAGAGAGATGTATGGTGGAATATTGTGCCACCGATGCATATAGGTTTGCAAATCTCTCTCGTTCTTTCCTTCCAGTCCATGTCGTCCCAAGATGTCGTCATATCCAGTGTTGTCAACGTTTAACTTTTCATTTTAGTCACCAATCAGAATGGTCAAGTCCTTCGATGAGCATCTGTTGACGATTCACTGCAGCCTCTCGTAGAATTGATCTTTAACGTCATTAGCGTAGTCATTTGTAGATGCATTGCATTGGATGACGTTCATTGTAATGTCCTGTTTCTTTGTTCTTAAGGAGGCTTTGATGATCCCGAGTGTGTTAGATCCCCATACAATTAGTGCCTTTTGTGCTTCTTTGGACAATATCAGCCCGGATAAAGTAGGAGGGTTGAAGTTGGGGTTGGAGACCTCATTCCACCGAAAAGACTAACTCGCTAAAAAGAAGATAACCAGAAAACATAATTCAAATCATTTTAACTCGTACCTGAGAGTTAGAAGAACAACTAGGACGTCTCGTGATGAAGGCCGAGTTCCCTCAGCAGTCACGCAGCCTATGCCCCTTCTCACAACCACGGCAACCATTCTTTAAGTACATGGAGTGTTCGAACATGGTGGGAGACTGGAAGACTATTTCAAGTTGCTACAGAAATAAAAAGATACAATATGGAGGTGCTAGCAGGATGTGAGAACGAAGAGAGTAGCTGATAAAGACCCAGATCACCAGTTGCAGATCGCCAAAATGAAACTGAGACTCAAGAAGCACTGAGCAGCCGGATGAACTGCATCACAAGTGAATCTCACGGTAAAAGTTCAATACTTCTAAAATCAGACGATAAAAGTGTCACCTGCAAAAGCATAGAATACAAATTATTATTTCATCAAGCCTACTACTACATACAGTCTAAACTCACTAACCGTGAAGCAGAACAGGTGGATTGTGACTAGTAGTGGAATCCAAGTCACCCGTTTCGTCCTATTAGACTGGTGAATTCTTTTAGATCCCATTCAACTATTGTAAATGATTTTTGTAGTGAAAGAGGGTGTCTCGAGGCCATTCACACAACATGCACATATATCAACGAAAGCTGACAAAAATTCCTTCCCATAAGTCAACAACAGGATGACGTAACATTTTGACTTAATAAACACAAGATGTTCCGTAATTAAATTAGAAGATGTCAAGAGTCTGTCTGAAGACCTGACTGGAACTTCGAAGTGAAACAAGAGAGCCTACATATATATTAGACATTCCTCTGTGATTGTCACAATAGAACTTTTGTCCTCTTTTACAAACTGGGATGACTAGCGATTGAGACGAATCAGATAGAACTGCATCCTATTGCCGGACTCTAACTGATATCTCAGCTTGTCTAACTGCCGAAAATGGATCACCATCCTTAAAAATGTAGGAGAATAATTCATCAGATCATGATGACTTTCTTCACATCAGATTGCTTACAGCCTTTTCAACCTCATTGAGAATTGGAGGACTTGCACCAACTTGTCATTTAGATTGCTTGCAGACGGTCGGTGGTAACTGCAGTGTAGTAGAAGGTCAGTTGACCTGTATCTTACAGCGTTCTGTCCATAGATCCAATCTCCTGGAAACAGAATGATTGGAAGTCCTAGCTTTTTCTCAGAGAGTCTCGCTAACAGTCGGATTCCTCCTAATACCAGTTTGCTTGATCAGTCTAAACGGTTTTCTGGCCTTACCTATGGCTGCTTCTGGTTTTGTATATCGGAGAAACTATTACCTTGTGAAATGAAATCCGCACCACTGTAAAATACCGCATTCTAGTTTAGAGACAATGAGTCATCCAAGTGTATATATTTTTCTAGTATCGTTTTAATACTACACAAACCTGTTTTTACTTTTACTAACAACCGGACAGTTGGATTTATTTCCGAATGAAAAAAAACCAATGACATGTAACAGGATCTATTAGTTAGTTATCGAATGTATTTTTTAGTGTTTATTCGTCATCAGACTACACATAACTCAAGATAGGGACGAGAACGGGGGAGTCATACAAGTGAAGAGGTTTCAGTTTACCTAATTTGCGTGTGAGTGTGTGTGTGTGTCATTCAAAATTAGTTATGCCCGATTTTTTCTTACTAAATAAATGCAGATGAGCTGCAGTTAGATCACATTTATTTAGACAGATTTTTAAAAAATTCTGTGATTAATTGAAATCGATAAATATTGAAATATTGATCTATGCAATGAAATAAAGTGATTTTGAATATTAGACCGACTAGAGCTTAAGAATTCCGTAATGCAAATCTGTAAATAGTTTCATGAACTATAATTCATACATTTGTGTGCAAATGTTATCTAGGTATTTGTATCTACTGTTTAAATACTTTTGTCGGTAAATGTGTAGACTTATGCTGACGACCTTGTTGATACAAGAGGACAGTGTTGCCATATGAACTAGTTAAGCTTAGATTGATTGTGAGACATTGTGCAATGGCTTCTGAATATCATGTATTTTTTTTCCAGTTCATTGAAACACAATCAGAACTCCACGTGACTTAACATTGATACTCTCTTTCTCTCTCTTATCACAATACAACACACAGTGGAATTGAACATGTTCAATGTGTGTTGAGAAAAAAGCTGAATCCCCTTGAAACTATTACCAATATGATATCGAAGCGAGAGAAAAGTCAAAATCTACTCAAAATTCAATAGATCTATTTTCAACAAAAAGTAACACAGAAGTAATTAAATATGCACTCCATGTGCACAGATAGAGACAGAGCGAAATGTATTCAAGTAATAAAAACATAATGTCTATTTCATATTTTAAATTTCTTTCAAGGTATATATATCAACTGAGATGAGTTTTTGTTTTGGTTGACATTACTTTAAAAATTACTTTATATTTATTGATATAAAATATGAAAAAGCTCATCTCGACTATATACTATTATAATTCTGTAGAAAAAAAAATTACAGCCGCATGTTATGCATATCATTAAAGTGTCCTGAACAAGAATTATATGAAATGAATATATATATATATATATATATATATATATATATATATATATATATTTGTCTGAATATTAGAAAATGTTGAAAGTGTCGTACAGAATAATGGCAAAATTAATAATAAAAGATTGTAACAACAGATAAAAACGCTAGAATATGACAATACTATAATATATAGATAAATTTTTAATCTTTATTTTTAAAAAAAAGAAGTAGCTCATGTCAGCCAGCACTAATAAACGAAGCTTAGAAGAAGTTCATATTAGTAAAAACCAATAGATGAAATGATTAATTATAGTTGGGTTAATAAAAAAAGTTGATTAGACAAAAGGAAGAAAATAAATTCAAAATTAACAGAATATAAGACGGTGGTGAGTAAGTAATCCTAGAGAGATAACTAGTTCTTCTTTACTGAATTACAACACATACTATTTATTTTATTTTCACACTTTGTTTTTCTGCTTTCTGTTTCACTCAATTTTCTTATTACACAAACTAACTAAACAAATTTCGTCTATCATTTTCTTCTATTAAGAAATTCTTTGAAACTTTTTTTTAATAGTATATCATTTTTAGACGTTAAGCTTTAAAATAAATTATTCTCAAAAAAAAAAAATACCCAAATATATTAAGATGATGTACTTGTAGAAGTTAAGAAACATGGTAATACAACTTGTACTGCTGATGCTGCTGTGGGCACTGATGCTGCTGCTATTGCTGATGTTGTTGATGGAGATGGTGATGTACCAGTTTTACTTTGAATAGCCCCGATTGTACAACATGATTGCAAATGATCAATTGATGATATCATGTTGTTATGCTGTTCATTTGATGATAAACTCATATCGATTGATGATATTGTATCATTTCTAGTTTGCTAATTTTTATGAAAAAAATATTAAAAAAAAATATGTATATATTCTACTGTAAATATGACAAATAGTAAAGAGAACAAAATAGAGTGAAGATAATATTTTTTCAATTGAATATGGGAATTTTCAATAAACTGAAATACAACATCGATTATTTTAGGCAGCTATAAATGGTGGCCGGTAGTGAAATCTATAGGATCGCGCTTCTTCATATTCAGGACTCGTCAGCTGGAAGTACCTGCTTACAACGGTTGTGGTCTAACGACAAAATCAAACATTTTCTACAAGGATGCACATAAACCAAAAGAGACTTATTGATTTCAGTCTTAAACATCACAGTAACGATCTCTAAACAGCCAATACAAATGAATATAACATGGTTTAGTTGCTAGGACCGTTTAAGTGATCGAACTGTGTATAAAAGGATATTCATATAGTTGATTCAAACAAAGCAGTTGTCAGTAAAATTTCTGTTACTAGATGTGATGTAATTTTGTATCATACTGGAGATACCCGACCAGAGATCAGGTGTTTGCACGATAGACCGAAGGCCCTAGGCTTGCTTGTGAGGTCGTGGATGAGTCCCATACTAGAACAAAACGGCCTTTTCGATGCTTCCAGGTTTCGAAAGTTGGTCTAACGTTGACTAATCCACCATTAAAACTAAACCCATTAGTCTTCAAAACCCTCTAATGACAATATCGGTTTTATTAAATATTCTTAAAATACATTTTACCGACAAAAAGTAACTTAATATGTAATGTATTTCTACAGCTCCCATCGATTATACCCAATCACTAAGAATCTTACACCAACTAAATTTGAGGAAAGAGAGGAAACAGTAAGTATTATTTGATCACTTTAGATTTTGTACACCACCGATGTGATCAGATTGAAAGTTTGCGTCACAAACTGATTTTATAAAGAAAGCCACTGAAAACTAATGAGCATTGAAGAGCTTTTTTCGTCTTAGTATAAGATTTTTAAACAGTGAGCACCCGTGACCTAATCAGAACTTGAACTCAGGACCTCTATGTTTCATCACACGATTAAAACATTTATACCACTCATTGAAATCATGAATTGATCAGTGTTAGACTACCAATAGAAATCATCAGTGTTTCCAGGTTTTCATGAGGTAACTTAACAATCTTCACAACCCCATAATGCAGTTTATACCACCGTCACCGGGTTGGCATTCAATGATGCCCATTATTGCCCAAACCGTTTTTCATATTTATATCAGTCCCAAAATATTCACTTATCACTTAGCACGAGGGAATCTAACTCAGGACATTTGGTCTCGCGCTTGAACTTCCATTATCTAGACCATTTAGGTAGTATTCAACAACGTTGCTCAATAGTAACTAGCATCAAGATGTAACTCCTGGAGTTTTAGTGAAAAGCTATAGCCAGTGAAGCTTAATCAACGTTGGATGAGAGACAGTTATCCACCGCAGGCTATAGATAATGAGTTGGGCAATATCATGGATTGATTGAAGTTATACATTAGCACCTTCAGGTGCCGACGCGATGGTCTAGAGGTCAGGCGTTTGTATGGGAGACCGGGAGCATGCTGTCATGGAGTCCCATATTGGGAAGGAACAGTTACCCAGTGTTTCCAGGTTTTCAATAATGGTTTAACCAGTATCAGCCTTATGATTTTAACAAAGAAAATACTAAGATTGGCACGAATCTCTTGCATACTACTACAACTAATAATAATATCATCGTTTACCTCAGTAGAACGAGTTACAGCGTAGAAATATGAAAAAAAGTTAGTTCTTTTCAATTGGTTTTTTTGTTAGTTCTGATAAAATGAGATAAATATTTTATCTTTATACAGAATTATTTGTGAACTAACAATATTTTATCGTAAGAAAAAACGACAGCAGTTATCACGTGACTTCGGATAAATCTATTACTTAATCAATCTTAAAATTATTTTACTGAAGCTTTATTGACTTGGCGAATGAGTCAATTATTACGAATTTCTAATAACCGTCTACCTAGACGAGTAATGCTAGCTGGCAAAGGAATAAGTAGGAAGAAAGGTCTTGTGAGATGGTTTGGTTTTCCACTAGGATTTAGTTTATATTTAGTAACTTAAATCTTTAAATTCCTGTCAGGTACCTAATCCTAAGTTTAAGAATTACTCATTTATTGGTTTCGTCATATTTGAAGGATTTTTTGAAGAGATATACATTGAAATGTCAGTAGTCTGTTCATTTCCGCAATTTTCAGAAGTTATGTTTTATGTAGTGAAGGAATACATAACAAACTGCAACTCTGTATACTTACCATTTGACAGGAAGACGAAGATCTCAGACATCAACCCACCAGGTCCGGTGAAATTTTCAAAATAAATCAAGAGGTGAAGACACTCATTTACTTCAATTCCTACGACTAGATCAATCACGGAAAAAACAGTTCTGAAGTAGTGCTTTATATTTTGAGGGAGAGAGATACTTTCAAAATATCCTTCACGAGTAACTCAGCTAAATCTGGAGATTGAACTCTTTAATCATTCCTCCTAAACAGGACTATAAAGTTTACACAATATTTTTCAAAACTCCAACTTAAGGTTCTGTGACTAACAACTTTTTAGTAGTATCACCATGTACGAACAGTACACTGACGATACCTGTGATCAAATACTAGCGACAGACAGATGTCTTTTCTTTTTAATTGGCTGTTTCATGGCTGTGAAGCGATATAGAGCTAAATACCGTGTAATATAATTGCTGTTACAATAATAATAATAATAATAATACATAATACATTATAAATGTTATATCTTCTCAGTTATAGGAATGAAAATATCCAGTCAAACTTTTAAAAGTCACCATCGAAACACCATCATCGTAATCATACGCAAAGTAGAATCTGACACATATGTGCAATGGCCCAAGTTGCCATACCAAATTTCAAGATTAATTTGAAAGTAGTAAATGTATTAAGTAGTAGTGAAAACATGATTAGTTATGGAAGAACCGAAACGTATGGGGATATTTCGGGACTCAGATTCTAGAATAAAACAAGGAGTGAATGCATTGGAAACGATTCTTAGATATGTCACCCAAAGTCTCTAATCATTAGTAATTATACTCACGTGGAGCACAACTACGTTAGTCTACACTTATTAACATGCTCAGTCCAGTTGTCAGTGACTTCACAAATTTGTGCCACATGTTGGTTCACATGTCGGCCCTAGATTTTGTTCAACCTACTTCTGCACCAGAAGACATCGCCCGTCAAGTTAGGCGGTGGTTGAGCATATATTATGTACTGTCATTAGTAAATGTAAATATTGCAAATTTGACCTACTGACTTGAATATTTTGATTACTGATACAACAGACTGATAAATTATGAAAACTTACCGAAGGATTTCCGTAGACAGCAGTTGATAAATGGCGAGTATAATTATTACCAGTAAATATTTTATTAGGATGTGATGGATTAACTATTGATACTAATGTAGTTGTTTGATGATTTTGATGTAAATTATGTTGTAAATGTGTTGGTGGCATTTGATGTATCGAATTTGATTGTCCCATACAATTAGAATGTGGATGAAATCCTAAAATTGATGTTATTGTAGCGTATGGTGATAAACATGAACCATCTATTTGAGTATTATTATTCAGATTATTGTTATAAATATCAGTTAACTGTTTTCCAAATTGTTGAGTTTGACGATTGACTAGTGTACCATTATAACTTAAAGACTAAAACGAATATATAAGATATTTTAAAATGAAATATTATAATAACATAAAAGACAACTTCAATTTAATCGCTTCGCTATGAGTAAAAGAAACGCAACATTCATAACAAGCGAAATTTTCAAACAATAAACATTCAGACATGATATTAAAAACGAGATCATTTGACAAATTATTAAATACACAATAAACTGATTGTTGATAAATTCGTAGCCATAGTAGCATAAACATTAAAAAATTTCAAGCAAATAATTATCGTTATAACTTTAAACAGAATTAATATGAATATTTTCTCTTAACAATTTTAATTCTTGAAATGTCTTTCAATAAAAGTAGCCAACAAACGAAAACTTCGGTACACAGGTTATAACTATTTACAACGTTAATTTTATATTTACGAACTATCAACAACATTTGAAGCATTAACAAGTGAATCAAACAACTAAATTCTTTGTCAATAAAACGTCACACAATGATTAACTTTTTTCACAGATATAACTAACTCAACTACAGGTTATTACCAGTATTACGATTATATTAACCAAACGCTGAAAACTAACGGCCTACCTCAGCTGATTCCAATATACCGGATGAATGTGCACTATTGTCAGTATGGTAATCACTAGTTGAACTGCCAGTGAATGGCGAACTGGTTTGATGAAACAACATCAGTTCATGACTAGACCCAGTTAATGGGCTATACAAATATGTTGCATTTGTTGCATACTGTTACAATCAGATAAATTTTTGTCGTTTGTTTTCATGAATTAAGTATACAAAATAAAATGACAAGGACAATGATTAATAATTAGGAAAAGACAAAGTTCAATTATACTATAAACTGATTATTATAAATGTTTAAATATATACATATATTTATATGTATATATGAATTGCTAGTCTTTACAACTTCGTGTTAACAATGCAATAAAAGTTTATTTTTCATTGAACAGATCAAGATAAAAACAGAGAATAAGGAATTAAGTGCTTATGACACCTAATAATAAAATGTATTTTGCTAAAAAGCAGTCTGAATGACTGTTACATGGTATATAGTTTCGAAAAATATAACGACTCATTGTTAGAACAATAATAAATGGTTACAAGTTATTCGTCTATTTATATTTTATGTACAGTTTCTATATCATATCGTGGTTTCTTTGCAGGTTGAGTAAAAGATAACCCTACAGCATCATCATTGATGTTATTTTCTTCAAGAGTAGTTGGTTTTGAGAATTCACTCGTTGTAATATCCTCTTCCTCTGCTTTCGTTGCCTCTTTCACTGAATTCATATTTGTATTCATTAATGATGAATTAATTGATGCTGTAGCCAATGCAGCTAATGTTGCTGCTGTGCTCATATCAAAATTCATATTCATCTCTGTATTTGGTTGTTGTATAACAGCAGCAGCAGCAAGTAGTGCCGCAGTGGATGCTGTTAAAGTTGAATTCTGTAATAATTGTAGCGTTGATGGTAAAGCGCCAAATGATGACGGGAATAATGATAAAGCTGAATTACTCACCTGTTGTGGAAGTTGAAGATTTGAAGTAGTTATTGTTGGTGTTGATGTAGTAGCTCTTATACATGAAGATGTATCATTAGTGCACATGGTAGTTTGGGGACTTGTTCTATAAATTGTATTCTGAGGCTGCTGTACACCCGGTGGCCAAAGCCAATTGGCTGGATGCTGAGCTGTGATTGCCGATTGATGCTGTGTGATTGTCGATAAATGGTTGATCGAATACTCTTTGTTTAAATGTGAAGCACTATGAGTTACTGCCACATTAGACGATTGTTGGGAATGTTGTTGATTATTCTGAACTGGATGTTGTGGACGTTGAACAACGGCAGCCATAGCAGCAGCTGCTGCTGCTGTTATTACTGCAGGTGTTGAGTGAGGTTGGGCATTAGTGTTGTTAATGCTAGCGCTGATTGGTGTTATTTGACCCACAACCGTTGGAGCCAAACAAGAAGCATTCCCTGTTTGGTTAAATTGTTGCTGAAGTGCTGCTGTTACTGCATGCTGTGGAATGTGTGTATATGGTGATCCGGCACCAGCGAGAGTTGGATTTAAAAAAGGAAAGTAGATAGTTGTTCCTCCATCCGGTTGAGGAAGCATCACTGTGGCGTAAGGAGCTGCAGTCTAAAAGGGATTAAAACCAAGCCAAACTACAGTTATTACAAAAGAAATTTCGTTAATAAAAAAAATCAAACAATTAGAGATATGATTTTCTTTCACACGGAATATAATAGGAGTCACTAGTATCATATTTTTTTAAACCGCTTATCTGACAGGAATTACAATTCAGCTACCAGTCAATTTTTGAAGTAATCAAACTTATTAGTATTGTAATTATTGAAACAATATTGTCTACGTGACAGTATGATAATTTATAAATGTTTAATCAAAATATGCATTCGACTCATTAAAGTTTGTTTACACCATGCATTTCACTCGACTAAATAATTTGTTGATTTGAAGTTTCATAATTGCCTCCGATGTTTACACAGTTCAGAATTGAAGCTGCATTTTAGTTATTCAAAATTAAAATATCAGTAATGCTGTCAAAGCAAGAGTAGCCTTTCTACAGTTGGAGACTATCTGGAGCTCAAAACAACTGTCAACCGATAATTGGAAGCAAATTTCAAAAGAAGGAATAGCAATTGGTTGGAACAGAAAAGGTGAGCCGAGGATAGAGTTGGTTGGAAAATACTGGTCGGCGGCCTACGCTTCGTTAGGGGTAACAGGAGTAAGTAGGTACTGCTAAACGTTTTAAAGTTTGAGGAAAATGTCTTTTTCGATGATTGCTAACTACAACTGAGAAACAGGATCTAAGTATACAGGCTAATGATGGTGTGCGTACTCATACAAATTGCATACAATAATTTAAATATTAAATAACTTCCAATAACTTCATTCACTTACCGGAGTCAGAACGGAGTACTCTTGGCCAGGTAAAGGTAATACAGCCATACTATTTTGAAAACTATAAGGTACAGCACTTCCGGCGAAAAACAAGGTTGTTGTTAAGTCTATATTAGAAAATAAAAAAAATATTACGAGTGCGCAAACTTGAAGACAAAACAGTCTAATAAATTGAGGACAATCTACATACCTGTTCGAGGAAGAATTTGCTGTCTACGAATCGCATGACTTATATTGAGTTTACGGTCTTTGAAAATGAGTTTTTCGGACTATAATATGAAAGCTAGTAAAACATTATACTAACCTCATTCTTGATAATTTGTTCAGCTATTTCCTGACTTTCGAAAGTGACAAATCCATAACTCCTATTGTACATACATGACTGTTAGTAACAAATCATACCCTTTAGATGCCCCAGGGCGATCATTTATAATTTTGACATCTTTTACCTGACCAAGGCTTGAAAAGAAAGACTTGAGTTCTTGTTCAGTTGTCTAAAAACTAAATGAAAAGTATAACTGAAACCTACATTTGATGGTATTCCTCCGACAAATATGCGGTTTGGGATGAGGGTACCACACTTGGATAGGCTGGACGATCCAGGAGTTAATGTATGGTAGAATGGAACAAACGCACTTTCAGAGATGAGTCTGTTAGCTTGATCACTCAGTTGAATACTGATCCCATTCTAGAAAGATGGTAAATGGAGGTACAGAGTTGAACACCTTACAAACGGTAATGTTAATTTTGAGCCTTTATGGCTGAAATTTCAGTCATAAATTGAGTTTATTCTTTACAGTTAGTAAAAAATATATCCAAATAAAATAAAGATTCTCCCGATCACATAGACAAGTGGATATCCGTATTTAGTAGCTACGTAAGTAATGCACTGAGCATTTGAAGTGAAAAGTATCTAGTTCGATCCTCATTGTGAATATCAACACTGAGACTGTGCATTCAAGAGATAAGTTCAAAATAAAATCAAAATCTTGTCCCAAATTCCACTGCTAGCCGCTTGCAGATGCTTGTCACTTAGTGCCCATATTAAGTCAATTTGCACAGGGTGCATCTATACCGAATGACATCTGATATTTGCAATGTTCATTATCAACCAGGAGACCTAAGCAAGTCTGATACTTAAATAATTTTTTTCCAAGATGATTAAAGTAAATAAAAAATCAATTTAATGTTGTAAACTCGAATGTTCACGATACAAATATTACATCTAGTAAAACCAAATAATCTTTTCTGTTAACTTAAAACTTCAAGCACTAAAACAACTAACTACCTATTGATAAAATGAATTTCTACAGGGAAATTTAACTTTCTAGTCTAACCATTTTAAAAAATGTCCGGCGGACTGGATAACAAATAAATTTCATTAATGATTATGATAGTTAAGTGGTCACAGCTAATATATCAGATCGTTCAAAATATTCAAACTCACGTTTTAGAAACAATATAAAATTCAAAACTCACCATGGTTTACAAACAAAGCACAAAACCCGTAGTTCTCAAAGAAAATCAAATGAAATGGGCAGACGAATTTTGCGTGGCTAACAGGCTTCATGTTCAAATTTATAGTCGAATTACAGTTCATTTCATTGGTTCGTTATATGAGCCCCTTGAATTAATTGATGATGTTATCTGTGTGTCTATCAAACGCTCATTTAAAAAATAAACGTGGTGGGAGAAAAGTCGATTTTAGACCATTATGTGTGTGTAAAATAACCTAGCCGTTAATCTCCTTTATGAGGTTTTGAATTAATTTCGAAATTTATCATATTCCATTGGTTAAGAAAGAGTTCTGGCGATTGATTCGACGAGAGCTTCTGAACACCATCAAACCTTATTTTATAAAAGTCGCGTGTAATTTTATCTAGCATTTTTTAATATGATAATTCAAATCTTACACCTCTAACCCAGAGAATAATAAGTGTTAATGGAAAATTGTTGATGAATAGACTAAGCATTTAACAAAAGTGCACAATGAATAAGCTCATTATGCATTACTTTTCATCGAGATTTTAATGTAATAGCTGAAGTGATAATAGGTAAACAATTATTTCAGAATGTCTATATCAATACATAGAATCAATCACTTTAACAAGATTTCTGTTCTTCAATAACTTTTCCTGTGAATATCATAGATTTTTTCTTTAGATTTTCAAAATGTTCGGAATTTAAACTTTTATTATCTAGTAAATAAAGTGTGAAAATCAAGCATTTTAAAGTTACTCTCTTCTATAATTTGAGGAATTTTCGTACAACTTTTTCTAAATTTGTTTAATGATCACATGAGTTTCTCTAATTTGCTTTATTATTTATACTTTTAGGATAGACGGTTTGTGAAAAAATTAAAACTAGGATTACAATTGTTTGATCACTTAATACTAACTAACAGTGGAGGAAATTCGTAGCTCATGTGAATGATTATGGTGAGCTGCACAACCGAAACATCCGGCTGAGAGAACGAAACTCCATCATCATTGTCTGATGTCATGTTTGACTATTTCTTTAATGATAATCGAATTCGATCGACCAAGTGGTAAATTCACTACTAGGATAAATGATACGCAATAGTGTGTTTCATAATTTGGATGTTGGGTGGTTGGAGTTAGCTGACAGAACACCACTCGTCAGCCTTGCTAACAAAACCAAGAATATGTTGGTCGAATGCTTTCTCATAGTTTGTCTGTCACTCCTCAGTAAAGTGAAACCACGACCCCACTTGGGACTGAAATTATCACCTACATAATGCTAACATGATACATGTAGATTGCTGGACCGAAACTAAATACGATATATTTTAAATCCTTTTTAACAGTTTTAAATGATGAATAAATCCTATATGATCACAGATTGATTTTTAGACTGAGAACTAGATCTTTGAATAGTGTTCCCAACGATGTTAGATAATCATTCTTTAAACTATTCTATTTTTCATCGGATCATTGGGATCATGAATGAATGAATAATTACACTGGATTTTATTTAAGTCTTCATTTTAAAAAGTTTAGAAATTAATCCAAAACAAGGTTTCATAAATATAACCTTTATTTTGAAATTCATGGCTTTTATTAAGAGCAATGCGTTTTCATTATTCTATAATTATAAAAAGTTGTTGTTGTTAATTTATAAGGCAAAAACTATACTGATAAACCAACTGAATTTGAGGCAACGGCACTCGGATTTTTACGTGAAACTCAAAAGGCAATAATGAATATCTTATACTTAATTAAGGTCTGAACGAAAATTGCTTTTACTTAGTTCCTAAGATGCTTAAAATGATAGATATATCGGTTGTACGATCACAGAGAGAATATAGCATTATGTGCTAGCTAGTTTCGAAGAAACACTTGTTGCTGATGTAAACCATACCATAAAGTGGCATTTGTTCGTTGATATACTCAGTGTAATTCAGGTCCTCCTGCTTGATGACTTGAAACAGTGATAATTCTTTCAGGTATTCGTTTCCACTGTTAACAAAATGGTGCTTGGATAGATCCAGTTGAAGCTTATTGTGACATAATCCAGTGATAATGCTTTATGATGCTCAACTGTTTATAGAATGCTCACATCTTTTTCTAATGTAGATGGGTGAGAGTGATGCTTAAAATAGACTATTTTCCTCTTCTCATGGTTAGAATATACTTATTCTAATACATTTTTTTTTAAATGTTGACATTCAGTATATAAAAATGGGCTTAGGCGATGAACCATACTACCCCCTTTATAAAATGAATATTACGAATATCCTCCTATCTGTACATAGTTTGTGAAGTTTATCGCGCACCTGCAAAATACCAGGTGTCAAATAACCCATGATAGATATAGGGGTAGTGGTGGTGAAAGTCTTTTTTTGTGAAAGAATGTAGGGGGTTATGACAAAATTAAAAGACTATTTAAGATGAGATGGCATTAAATATTGAGTTGAGTTGCTTAATTATAGATCACTCTAATGATGAGTTCATCAGATTGTAAATATCTTGCATAGAATACTTAACCAATAGATTGAATATATTTTCGATGAAATAATTAAGATCCATGGCATGGACTTACTTAAGCCTGTTACCCCCAATGGAGCATAGGCCGCTCACCAGTTTTCTCCAACCAACTCTGTCCTGGGTTTCCCTCTCCAGTTCTGTCCAATGTTTGTTCATTCCTCTCATATCTTTCTCTATTTCTCGGAAAAGTAATGTGTTCTTTGGCCTTCCTCTTTTCCTTTTGCCTTGAGGGTTCCATGTGAGGGCTTGTCTCGTGACGCAGTTAGGTGCTTTCCGCAATGTGTGTCCTATCCACTTCCACCACTTCTTCCTGATTTCCTCCTCCAATGAAGGAATCTGGTTTGTTTTCTCCCACAGTACGTTGTTGCTGATGATGTCTGGCCAATGAATCCGAAGTATTTTGTGTAGACAGCTGTTAATCAACACTTGTATCTTCTGGATGATGGCTTTCGTAGTTCTCCAAGTTTCTGCTCCATACAGTAGAACTGTCTTGACATTTTTATTGAAAATGCTGATTTTGGTTTTGGTTGAAAGTTGTTTGGAGTTGCAGATAGTTTTCAACTGTAGAAATACAGCCCTCCCTTTGCCAATCTGCGCCCTCACATCTGCATCGGATCCACCTTGATTGTTGATGATGCTGTCCAGGTATGTAGAGGTGTTAACATCCTCCAAGGCATCTCCATCAAGAGTGATTTAATTGGTGCATGTTGTGTTGCATCGGAGAAGTTTGCTTTTTCCTTTATGTATGTTGAGACCTACTGCTGCAGAGGCTGCTGCTACACTGGTCGTCTTCTCTTGCATTTGTTGTTGCGTGTGCGATAGAATAGCCAGTTCATCTGCGAAGTCCAGATTGTCCAGCTGCGTTCTAGCTGTCCACTGAATGCCGTGCTTCCCTCCAGATGTCGACGTTTTCATAATCCAGTCGATCACCAGGAGAAAGAGAAGGAGTGAGAGTAAGCAACCTTGCCTGACACCGGTCTTCACCTCGAAAGAGTCTGTTAGCTGTCCTCCGTTAACGATTTTGCAGTTGAATCGATCATAAGAATTCCGTATGATGTTGAATATTTTCTCAGGCACACGACAGTGTCGAAGAAGCCTTCACAGTGTTTTCCTGTCCACGCTATCGAATGCATGCAGCTGATAAATCAATAGTGATGGCATAGCAGTGAGGCTTGTAAAACGTTTTAGATAGTAACGTTCGAAACAGGAAGACGGTTAGTTGATTGGTTTGATTGTTGCCACAGCCTCATGATATCAGTTCCGTAAACATTTTGCTGATGCCTTTTGTGAGATTTGTTAGTGACAAAAGACCTGAACCGTGAAATGTCGATCGCTTCAAGGATAATAAAAAACTCCTAAACCTTAGATGATCAATATTGCAAAAATAATTTCTGGGCTCTTTTATCAAGCAGAATGATGTGTTATGGGCTAATTTTTCGATACTAAACAAGGAATTCACAATTTATTGAAGCTATTCACACACAAAATTAAAGGCCAAACAACTAAAAAATACGTTGCTCACTTAATAACCTATGTTTTCGAGACACCTGACATTAGATACTGGTTGGAGATCAATATCTGATAAGTTAGTCAAATATGTTATTTCTTGAAAGACACTTGTGAAAAAGCTAAATAAAATTGGTGAAATTTAGCAACCCTGAAGAGTACAACATGAGATTTACAATTCTTAGGACAAATCCCCACAAGCTCTGATTGAATCAATAGAGTTCGGAGGAATGCTAATATAAGGTTAAAGAATACAATTATGGTCGGCTGTCGGAGATATAACTGTCTTGCGAAACCTTAGAACGTGTGAATATTTAATCCACGCATTCAAATCTAGGTCAGAAACCAACTTAAATTTCGTTCTTCACGATTCCTAGTTAAGCGTCAAATGAATTATTAAGCCTGTTGTTTGAAATAAGAAATCAGTTAAAGCGATTCCTGTTCGATCATCGTTAAAGAACTTCTGTCCTTTCCTGTAAATTAGGACAAACAGAAATCGATATCAGTTCGATGAGATAATCTTCAGTGCCAAGTTAAATTTCATTGCATTCTAACGATACATAGATCAAGTCTCCAACTCCGGAATTATTATTCTGATGGTAGACTCTTTACATTTCATTGAATAATAACCCCGTGAGTTCCTTCGTTATTATAGCTTCGTTCTATACCCTGAAATTGTTCAATCTTTCAACTGTGTGAACAAACATGAGAATAGAAACATATCATCATCAGTCTGATTACGTTATTCAATCATCAGATAATTTATGTAAAGTTAACTGCTCTTCAGCCTACCTCACTTGATGCTTTTCTAAGGCTGTTAACAATCCGAAACCCATATATAAAAGAAGAAGAGACTTGGGCATAAAGATCACAATCCTATTTCACATGAAATAATAACCCTCGCTCAGAATAATAATGATATCTAGTTTTTACACAACTCCAAATAACACTAATCTATCTCTACATGGAAATATAAGAGTCTTAATGATAAAAAATATTTATTATGTTCAACCAATCAACCAATCA